CACTCCACCATCAAATTTCATATATCCCACAACTGGATATTTTTTCTGGTATGTTTCTGTGTATACTCTTTGGAGATCGTCCATTTCTCTGTCTGTTAATCCTGTCTGAAAAACCAGATTAAAAATTTATTGTCAGTGTAATGACTATTTTATTGATAAGGAATATGGAAATCTCCAAGTTTTCAAAGTACATGCCTTAATACCTAATATTTCATTCATCAACTTGTATACAGCTCAGTTGGCACTTGGATGGTCAAAAGATAGGCATAAACATTCTGAATTTTTAAAAGTTTGACTTAATACAAATTGCTGGTGAATTTGCGAGCGGTAAATATTCTGCAGACCAGACATCTATGAGATGCTGAATTGTTAGTTACAGGCAATATAGTTTTCTAGCTCCGTTGTCGACTTTGTCGAGCGGAGCTTATCATATGAGTGATCGTCCGTCCAAATCCAATTGCTTTGATATATTATACATATAGGTACTACATGTGGACCTCTCTCAGATTTGTTCATATTCTAATGATATCTTCTGTTCTTTAATTGCCATGTGCATTGCTAACAGCGGAGCTATCTCAGCTTGACACAGGAACCCAAAGGTTGGCGTTTCAGAAAAAGGAAATTTTCAATTTGAAAAGGACATTTTTTGTATGTTCTACATAAACATACCAGTTTATAGATTCAACCTAATGCTGTAGAATTACATACTGTAAAACGTGTTGAAAAAGCGAATTGTAAAAATTTGTATGTCGCGTGCCAAAACAAATGCGCAGTTATCACCTCCATAAAAACAAAGAAAAACGGTTAAGTGTAATTAGGAAGCGCCCCAGATTTTTATGTTACAGATTACTGTATACAAATCCCCAAAGCCTTGGCCATTTTGAATTTATAATGAAGTCATTAGCGATTCAGTTCTCTTGCTAAACTCGCTAAAAATGCTCACGAAAAAGACATGTTTTACAGTAATATGATATTTTCATAATAAGTCTTGTTGAAAACTTACTAACATGGACGAACTGGAATGTAATTATATTTGTCTCGCCTAATTATAGATGTGGATCTATAATATTTCACATTGTAAACTTGTTATTTCTTGAAAATTCCATGGATCAAACTGATCAGCAAAAATGTATGGTGACAAAATATTAGTGTAACCAATTTAAAAGAATACAAACCACGTCATAGGTCAGGTCTTCAGGTGCTAGAGACATCTTTGCCACAGCTCTGGTAGAGTCTTTACCAACTAATGCATTATAAGGGGCATCTTTACCATAGAAATCTGAAATCACAAGAAATTATCATTATAATTGACCTCGTGTCCACAGGATGGATTAAAATCTAGACTGGTGAAGGTTGTCTGGAACATAAATGTTTCTATATGGTCCAACAACAAAATGTGATAAGTATCATCTGTAGTGGCAAGCTTATGCGTTTATTTTCTTAATTATTCTATCATAAAAAAATCTACTTAAAAATTCCCCAAAATGTTCATTACGGTACAGTTAAAACCACAGTGATTTTGTCATTGAACAGTCATTAGAACAACTGATTACTGACTTTGTTTCAAAATATTGTCAGGTGTGGGGGAGATTTGTCTACAAACTATTACTTCTACATGTAAATATTTTGAAGCAAAGTTGGTAATCAATTTTTTTTACAACAATCTCAAGCAATATTTTGGTGGTTTTCACTGTTACAAGATAGATACCTTTTCCTGAAGTCACATCGAATACCGTTCCTTTTACAGCAAGATATATTGGTAAATCAGGCTGCAATGATAAATATGTATAATTATATATTAGTCATTACCATAACTTTGAATGATTCATAACATCCAGTACCACTTAAGGAGGTTCATGTCATTTAAATTTCTCTCATGCTCAAGAAAAACATCTTTTCAATTCTTGCATAAATGTTCTGAAGAAAATTAGTCAATGTAAACACAGGCCATCAAAATTTAATATGCCATCATTACTGAACAATAGGCATGCTCCATAATAAACATTATTATTATGCAAATTATGTAATTAGTTTGCCTAGTCTCATTGAAATGCAATTGATGTTTTTTGAGATATAGGTGGGATACCCAAAACTAATATCATTGTTCATTTGAATTTGAAATCTTGCAATATCCGTGGAGCAGACATGCATACAGACAGACAGGTAACTGCAAAGACTCGCACTGTGCGAGTCAAAAATAGTATTTGTCGATTTATTATTCCTCAGCTCCTGAGAGCGAGGTTATTTGTAGATATGCTGGCAATCGCCTCTGTGTCTGCGGAAGTACTATGGGAGATTGCATGATGGGAGTGAAAATTCTTTTGATCAATAAAATAATTTTATAAAAGTGAAAACTAGAGTGACTGTGAAATAAAGGTCATGGAATCTGGATGAAATAATAAGATGAAACTGAACTGGTATGAAAGGGAGGTAAATGTAGCTAGAATGCAAGGTTAAATTCCGGAGGTCAAAATACGTCACAATGCATTCATCATTGCGGCTGCAAAGTAACAACTATGGATGCAGTAAAAGACTTTATTTGCAGTTTGCGTGAATGGCCGGGAAAAAAACATGCAAATTATGTGCTTCAGTAACAGTATCTGCTGCTTTTTTGTTCAAAATTAACACAAGAAATGCTGCCAAAAGACATTTCCTTCTAGTAAACAAAACGTTTATCTTGTAAATGTTATGGTTCTGTTACAGCAAATCTCAGAAGTATTGGGGCATCCAATTTGCAAACTCGCTAGCGAATTGGCTAACTGCTTGGCTTTCGAATCTCGCTGGCGCCGATTTGTGGTCGCGTCTACTCGGGGCGAGTCC